AGCTGTAGGGGGGAAAAGTAAACACAAGGCGCTTCAATTTCTTTTGCCTTCTGTTATAAACCAACATAAACGTCTCAAGTGAGAAATTTTGCTGTCTACGTCCTCTTCCTAAGATGGAGAGCATGGCTACGCCTTTCTTTAATATGGCATTTTGTTACAGAATGAAATCTGTATCGTGCTTCTTCCTATTTCGTTGCTTCATTTTGTTACTTTATCTCTTCTTTTACAAGTTTTTCTATTTAGGTGCATAGGTAATGAGGAATACTTACTCTCATGGTTTCAAATATGTGCTTCTCTTCTCTTCTCAATAGCCTCTTTGTTCTAAGGTTTTCGCATATTACTTGGGGTGTGCAGCATTTGGCTTCGCCCGAAAGGCTTTTTCGAAAGGTCCGATAGCTTATGGGAGTCTTACACACTTCAATTCTTGTTTAGAAGTACATGGGATTCTTTTTGGGTTCATTCCTTTCCTATTTGCCCCTTTTCTACTTGTTTCTCTATCGAGTACATTCTCGAGATGTGGCTTCCTGGACAAGATGAATGGGTGTTTTCTATGGTCCAGATGTCAGTGGAAAGTAAATATTGCTATGTTTTGATCAAGTCATAAATGAAAGAGCTCAACAAGTAGTGAAAAGGCATGTTTCGAGCCCGCTAGTCAGATGCAGGTGCGAAAAAAAATTTAGGAATCTGCAAACACATAGTATGTTGAAAAAAGTCTCACGAAAAGAAGTCATCTCATAGTCCACGATCAAAGCGCGGGGTGCTTCAGCTTTTAGGTCGAGGTTTGGGCCGTTCAGTTATATATGGTGAGAATTATCAAAAATTTGTGGAGTTTTCAGTTCAGAAAGTATCTACCAGAAACGTCAAGACTTTCTGGATTTTTTTTNGCATATCATCTCAGCATGCTTTTTTGTATAATATCGTTATGTTTGTCGCTATGAAGTTCTGCTATTAAATGATTTATCTTGACGCTTTTATGCTGCTGCTGATTTTTGTGATCAATCGGCTTTGTCCAATCCGGAATGGTTTACTTGATT